GTGCTCTTCACCTCTGAGCCATCTCTCCAGCCCGTCCAGGCTGGTCTTGAATTTGTTAGTTTCTGAGGATGACCTGGAGCTCCAGTGGTTAGATCTCTTTGAGGAAGACACTGGTGTCTACAGAGCTGTGTACATGTGAATGCTTGTACATACATATTATGTGCTGGTTGTACTGGTTCATGCCTGTCTCAGCTTTGTAAGTATTGCAAAAATAGGTGTTTGACATTATTTTGTGTATTTCATTTTCTGTGCTATATGCCCAGAACTGATAGAACTGTGATACTTAAGAGTTTTAATGCATTTATTGAGCCTTTGGAGACAAGATGTGATGGCAGATAACCATCATCTTGCCATTCAGAAGCTAAAGCAGGAAAATCACAAGTTCCAGGCTTTTGTGGTAGTTTAGAGAGAATAAAATGACAGCAAAGGGCATGTTAGCAAATCTGACCTACAGGTGGTTAGCAGTTCAGTTAGGCTTTGGGTGTTAATTGAATCTAGAGTTGTTAGATTTCATGAATCTTGGCTGTAGTGTTAGTCCAGGCTTTGGTGTACTGTGTGAACCAGGGAGAAAGGCTTTTGGGGGCTATTCAGCTTGATGGGCCAAACACAAACTTTGGCAACCTGTTGGAGAGTGCTGGTGCTGTAGTGGGAAGCCAAGCTGGACATCCTTAAAAGACAAAACTTTAAATTACCTTTTTTGAGATAGTGTATGTAGTTACTGGGCTTTATTTTTTGTGTATGTGAGTGATGGCACTTGTTAGTAGGTATTTGTGAGTGCTCTCAGATGAGGGTGTTAGGTTCCCCGGTGTTTGGAGCAAAACTCTAGAAAGGCAAGTATGTTAAATGAGGAATCATCTATTTCCCAAGGTGGTTTAACGAGCTGGATTGGGGTGGGTGGGGCCATGTGAGATAAGCTTCTAAGAGCCATCTTGTCCATGCACCACCTCCCCAAGAGGTGTCAGTGTTGCCCAGTTGGAGATTCTTGGAATGTGAGGATTTACAGAAACTGTGCAGCTTGGGCACCTTGATGTCATCCAGGCTGATAGGCATTTGATTTTTTTCCAGAGTTTGAGATAAATCTAGCCAATTTTGTTTACTGTGACTGACTTATTCTATTGCTGTGATAAAACGCCATGACCGATGCAGCTTAACTGTATTTCATTGGGTTTATAGTCTATGATGTTAGAGCAAAGGTTAGGGTATTGGGAATAACTGAGAGCTAACATTTCAAGATGGTCAGCAAGAGGCAGAGAGCATGCTTTTGAAGTGCTGGTCCTTTCTAAACAATTCCACCAACTGGGGCCCTTTCTCATAAAAGCCATCAGTCTGCAAATAAAAGTGAAATTCCCACCCTTGGGGGAAAATACCTGAACTTGTGACTAATTCTTTAAATTTAATATACAGATTAACTAATACAGGTTAATTTAGTAACCAATACCTAGAATAATTAGGGCCAGAAGTGCTGGGGTTTCAGCTATTTTTAAATTTTGGGTCTTCATATTTGATGTATTTTGGGGTTAAAAACATGAACTCACTTGGCTATACACACACTTCAGTTTGAAGGTAATTTCATGCATTTATAGTGTGCTTGTGTTTTGGTGAGCTGCCAATGTTGTTAGGAGTTGACAAACTTTAAAATTTATTTATGTGCATTAATGTGAAGGTGTCAGATCCCTTGGAATTGGGGTTACAGACAGTTGTGAGCTGTTATGTGGGTGCTGGGAGTTGAACCCAGGACCTTTGGAAGAGCAGATAGTGCTCTTAATCACTGAGCCATCTTTCCTTTATCCCAGCTAGCCTCCATCATAGCTAAGGATGATGATCTTGAGCCCTGGCTTCTCTTCATGATAGACTGTGAGCACATATGTAAGCCAAATGAAGCCTTTCCTCCACAAGTTGTTTTTGATCATAGTATTCAGCAAAGATAATAGAAACCTAACTAGGATACCAGTTAACACAGAAAAAGGCAATTTGATGTTACCAAGATGATGCAAGTACACATTGTCTGCTTTACTTCTTTTCCTCCTAAGATTTTTTTTTCATTATTTTAAATTATATGTATGCATGTGTCTCTGGGTGCTGTGTACATGTATGTGGTCAGAGGCTTTGTATCACCCTGAAGGTGGGTTTGAGCTACTTGGCTTAGCATGCAGAGGTCTGAATCCTTTCCTCCCAGAAAAAATAGAAGGGGAAAGGAGAGTCCTTAAGATGTGTGTGGTTGGGGGGTGGGGACTATGCACACCAGGGCTTTTATATGGAGGTCAAAGGACAACCTGGGATGCTGGAACTTGCTTCCTACAAGTTTGAATTAGGGTCTCTTGTTCTGTGACTTGGTCTAGAAGCTTCCATGGATTCTCATGTGTCTGCTTCCCATTCTGCCAAAGATTTTAGTATGGAGACAACGATGTTTCCAGCTTTTATATGGCGTTCTGGGATGTGAACTCCGGTCCTTATATTTGCTGTATCAACCCCCACACTCCAGCCCATCTCCTCGGCCCTTGGAGAAGCTATTAGAACAATACCGCTTCAGGCTGGGTGTGGTGGGTGGCACAGGCTTTTAACTTGAGCACTTGGGAAGACAGGCGGTTATCTGAGTGGAGGCTACATATAGACGGACCCTTTCAAGCACCCTCAAAACAACTATGCAAAACCAAACTGTTGGTTTGGAACCTTTAAAAAAATTTTTTTGAGGTAGTCTTTCACCATGTAATTCTGGCTGTAGTGGCTGGCCTTGAGCAAAGAGGTCTGCCCGCCTATGTCTTCCAAGCTAATCTTTTTACTTTTTTTTAAGACTTCTCTGGCTCGAAATTCCTGCTATAGACCAGGCTGGCCTCTAATGTACAGAAATCTACCTGCTTCTGTCCCTCTCCCTCCCTCCTGCTGGGATTAAAGGCATGCACTACCATGTCCAGCTCAAGCTTCTCTCTCTCTCTCTCTTTTTCTTTTCTAAAATTTGTGTGTATAGATTTTTTTATTTTGCCTGCTTCTATGTCTATGCTTCCTGTGCATGCAGTACTCACCACAGCCAGAAAAGGGCATCAGGTTCCCGGGACCTGGAGTTACAGATTGGGCCTTCTTGTGGATGTGGGGAACCAAACATAGGTTTCCCTGGAAAGAGCAGCAAGTATTGGACTGCTGAGTCATCTCTGCAACCCAAGGGCTTATCCTTTTTTGAGAAATTAATATATGTGGCACCTGTAATCCCAGCACTCAGGGAGGCAGATGCAGGTGGATTCCTGTGAGTTTGAGGCCAGCCTAGTTTATAAAGGGAATCCAGGACAGCTAAGGCTACACAGAGAAGCCCTGTTTTATTTTATTTCTTTAAAATCTGCAGGAGGGCACCAGATATCATAGATGGTTGTGAGCCACCATGTGGTTGTTGGGAATTGAACTTGGGACCTCTGGAAGAGCAGTCATTGCTATTAACCTGAGCCATCTCCAGCCCGAAACCCTGTTTTAAAAAGTGAAAACCAAAACAACAAAAAAACTTGTGTATGTGAACACAGGTGCACTTTCCACTGCTGTGCTGTGTTCTAGCTAGCTTCAGGGCCATTCTGTTTCTGCCTCTCCTTTGTACTTAGGTCTGTCTGCAGAGCTGGGAATTAACAGATGTTCACATCATTGGGGGCAGGGTGACAGAGCCAGGGTTCAGGCATGATAGACAAGCCCTCTACAATTGCATCCCCAGCCTAGTAGCTATGCTTGCAAAAGTGTTACTTATGTCTTATCTGGTGGTAACCATTAGGTTCATACGGAGTTTTTTGAGCCAGGGTCTCACTATTCCTGTATCCTTGACTGGGTTGGATAGGGCTGGGATCAAAGGCGTGGACCACCATGCCTAGCAAGTTCATGTGAAATTAAAGTCTTTTATTGATAGGTCCAGTTCTATTAGGTCTTTGTGAAAATAGACTGTAGCAGTGGTTTACTTTGTCTTAGAGATACTTGGAAGGAAATTTTCTCTGAGCCAGTAGGTGTGCTTTTGAGCATGCTGGGACAAGTAAACTTTGCAGAGTTATAATCCAAGTGTGTAGTGTCTGGTGTAAGCACAGTAGGATAGTGGGGTATATGTGGAAGGGTGTGTGAGAGAAGATGGTGTGGGTGGGGTTTAAGGACCAGGCTAGAAGTTCATGTGTCGTAAGACAGTCTGTTCCTATGACCAGTTTTCGCAGAAGCAGGAGGACCAATCAGAGGCCTGTTGCAGCTAAGAGGCTTAGACCAAGTCTGGAAGTGGGAGTGAAGTGAGTAGGTGTTTGGTGTTCTGGGCCTCCTGGGTAACCTGCTGTTACCCCTGCCTCTCCCTCTCCTGTGAAAGTAGTTACATTATGGTAAAAGCAGAACATAGAATCTTAATTGGGTAGGGCATGGTGGTGCACGCCTTTAATCTCAGCACTCAGGAAGCAGAGGCAGGAGGATCTCTGAATTAAAGGCCAGCCTGGTCTAGGTTCCCAGGACTACACAGTAAACGGCCACCCCCAACACCACACACACACACACACAAAAGTGACATGGATTTGTTTGTTTCTTTGGCAGAGCTGCCCCTCTCAATTCCAAACCTTCTTCCCTATTTTGTTTTGGTTTTTTGAGACAGGGTTTTTCTGTGTCCTGGAACTCTAGAACAGGCTATTTTCAGCCTTACAGATTTCTACCTCCTGAGTGCTGGGATTTAAGGTATGTGCCACCATTGCACAGCTTCCATTCCCTGTCCCGTTTTAACTTGACCGGGATAGATATGTTAAGTGTGTTCTCAAAGTCTCTTGGGACAATGTGGGATAAGCTCCCAAGTGGGAGACCAGGAATCATTTGAGAACTCTTGCACTAGAACAGTGAAACCAGAACTTGAGTCTGGAATTTTGGTGTTGGAGATTGAACCCAGGGGTTTGTGCATGGTAGATACATGGTCTACCACTGAGCCATAACCCTTAGCCCGTGTGGCCTTTGGTAATGTAGTGAACCTAAGCATCCAAGAAGGGGGAGAAAAAACAAAAAAATTTTTTTTTTTTTTTTTTTTTTTGAACTGAGCATACAATGTCAGGAGCTAGATGTGTAGGGGCTGTAGCTGGAGAAGATAACTCAGCTTCTCTCCAGGTCGGCCACCAAGTAGGGCTGTGTTTCCTTCAGGGCACTGAGGAGCAAGTTCTTGCACGTCAGGTCCCAGGCTGGAGCAAAGCTGAAGAGCTTCCTCATCTTGTTTTGATTGGTGGCCTCTGCGCGAACAGCCTGGTACTGACCTTCAGTCAGCACTCTGCCATACAGAGCATCCAACACCCCATCAACACATGTGACCCTGGCAATGAGTGCTTGCCTGTGTTGGTCCACAAAATGTGCTGAGGGCGGAAGTGAGAACAATGCTCAACAGTGCTTCAAAATTTACTAAATGTAGTTTTAAGGGGTGGGGAGGGTCAAGGAAGGCCACCTACCACAACTCCCTCCCCAAAATAGGTTGGTAGTCGGTAAGCAGGGTTAGGTCAGGCTAGCCCTGGCCTTGGCACAATAGACAGGGTGTGGTAGGGTGGGGAGGCCTCACCTGTCCTGTCAGCCCTCTGAGCAGGGGCCCTGGTTGCAGCTGCCACAGCACCAGACTCTGTAAAGAAATGTCAGGTGGTTCTTTTTCCTTAACAAACTATCTGGGGTTGCCTCCCCTCTCCACCCTGAGTGCTAAGTTCAAGGAGAGTTTTTCTTTCTTTCTTTCTTTCTTTCTTTCTTTCTTTCTTTCTTTCTTTCTTTCTTTCTTTCTTTCTTTCTTTCTTTCT